GCAAAGCCAGTCTGAAGGCTTGCCAATGAACAACAGGCCAACAAGGAAACAGACAGCAAGAAACACCAAGAGTAGGAAGCTCAATTCCATGTTGTTGGCCCGAACCAGTGGAGTGTCTTTGTATGTGAAGAATATGGCAAGGACAGAGAGACAAATACATGCTCCAACAACAGATACAACACACAGCACAATACCCATCGACTCAAAGTAGGACAAGAACTCAATAGTCTTTGGGATGCAGTGATCTCTGACTTTATTGGGCCATGTGTCCTCTGAGCAGCGTGAGCACTCTAGAGAATCTGGAGACAGGGAGAGAGAACACCTTTTTAATTTAGAAAAGCCACATTTAGATACAGAACACTTGATAAAGGTTGATAAAAATCAGTACACAACACACCAGTCTCATTACTAACTTCTCCCTCAGCACAGGGGACACAGTCAAAACAGCAGATAGGCTCCCCCTTTCTCCTGGTGATGCGGTAACCTGGAGGACAACTGTCGCTGCATACAGACCAGGAAGCCTGAGAGGCAAAATTCAGCCACTCAGAAAGAGACTGATTTCAATGTGCAGTCACAAGTGTCTCTTCTTTGTAATGCAATAACAGTGCCTGCAGACTGTATACAGTATCAGATACAGATTTAAAGTGCAATTACCTCAATTACACAATTCACGCTATTACCCATTACAATAGTTTTATTTAATTGACCTTTTGCTAAACCTCGCCCCTTTTTGATGGTACGACAAGCTGTCAGAGTAAACGTGGAGCCCACACTGTAACTTACTGTACTCCCTGAAGAAATGTTTATCATATTTTTGCAAAAATGAAATAATGATTTCTTGGCAGCAAAAACAGGTTAAAAAGACAAAGATAGAAGCTGAAGCCTAACTATAGGTGACACACAGTTTAAAGTAACCAACCACATCAGTGGTGATTGCGACAGAAGACAATGAATATAAAGGCAAACTTTGCCGATATTGAACCAGCTGTGAGGTATCATCGTGTGTGAGTGTGTGTGTGTGTGTGTGTTATAATCACTTAAAAGCAAATGCAGCATGTGTATACATTCAGTCGGCTATATCTTCAGCAGCAAGCTAGCTAACCCTACACTGTTCAGGGTGTGATTTTGGTTTTATAGCAGGAAAGAAACGAATATCATTTAGCAACATTTAGCTCGAAAAAAGCTAGCAAGCACAAAAGCAGCCTAAAAATGAAGGAAATCTCAAACATTTGCATTAGAGTCAATGGAGCTCAGCTGTGTTATTGTTGGACCCTGGTCTGAGCCGGCCCAATGCTAGGTTATGATTTGCCAGTCTGCATCCAGACTTAGAGAAGGGTCAACTGCAAACTGTTATCACAATATTGTTTTTTTTTAATTAATTTTTGAGGGTTTGAATAAGTTTAACATAAAAGTATATTGCACACTATTAATTACACTAAACTGCAAATTGTTATCACCATATTGGGTTACTGATAAGGTTTATGCTTGTATATGCAACTGTGTTTGAAAAGGTTATATTTGATTTTGATATTTTCTTCTGCTAACAAAGAAGTATATTGCACACTGTTAAGATAATTCTAGCTGATGTGTTGATCAACAGTACATACAGCAGCCTAAGAGGTGAACAGGGTCTTAAGCCAGTTTGCAGAAAACACACCTGCTTCCCAACAGGCCACTGAATCACTGAGTCATTTATGAACAGGCTCCGTCCAGGTGAGGAAGCGTCATAGAAACCTACTTTTACCAAATGTAGTGATCCGTCAGGCCTCCTTTGCCAGTTTAAGAGATCGTAATAAGCAATGGGGTCACCATTTTGATCGAAGTTGACTTTCTCACCCAGTGCAGAAAAATTAACATGCTTCATGTAGTGCATTAGCTGAGGAAGGAAGAAAAACAGGTTACGTAAACACTAACTACACTGTCGCTGACTTATTTCTTATTACTTGATAATTATATTTAAGCTATAACTAGTCTCACCTGCCAAGGTTTAACAGTCTTTGGGTCTGCACAGGCACCATTATGGAAAGGCCCCTGTCGAATTTTGCAGTTACTCATATCCTGCAAGGCATGGGCCACCACATACACAGCCTTGTAGACATTATAGGACACTCTTAGCTGTGTCACATCATAATAAGGAGAGTAAACATCATTTAAATTCTCTGTCCCTTTACATGGCAATCTGTCGAGGTAGTTGTTGCCTCCATGTGAGTGGACATTCATTGACCCGTTCAATCGGCAGTTAAACAGCTCTTCCCAAAATTCTGTCAAAAAAGCTGATTCATGAATATTGGATGGTCTAAGTCCAGCGAGGTGTTGTTTGAGCCCTGGAATCACATCAGCTCTGCGGATGGCAAATCCTAGTGTTCCTGTCAGCAGATCTCCAAACTTTTCCCAGAGAGAAATGGCAGTGGCCCAAGCTTCACTGGCGATCCACTGCAGGCCGGTTATATTCCAATGTCGGATCTCTCTTAGAATGACTTCCATCTCTGACTCACTACTGAAGTTAATGATGACCTTCGAAGAAGACATCTGTGAAATATAGGTATAGTTAATATTTAATGAAATAATAAAAGTTAAACAGTTTTAAGAACTTTAATCAAGTGATGGTGTGTTAGACCTCCTCAAGTTTACATAAATATGACATTTAAGCACCTATAACATAGAGCATAGCACTTAATATTAGTGTAGTAATGAACAGATACAAATTTATTTAAAGATGGATAGAAAGTGTATATGAACAAGCCAATACTGTGCATAAAAATTATAAATGAAATAAAATAAATTAAAAATAACAAATACATATTACATAACAATGCAACTGGTTGAAGAAACCCAGGTTTAATGTATTTCCCAACTAAACCCTACGCCCTTGATGATACAATATCATAACACATCACCACTTACTAAAACCTCAAATGACTTAACACTGAAAACAACGGGCAAAAAACAGAGTAAGCTTTACAAAGCTTGTATTGATTGCATGTTTATAAAATTTGTACTGACCCATCAGTACCTGAATAACATCTAGAAGCTCATCTAGAGCCTGCTGACTCAGTACTACAGGGTAGAAGTGAGTGTAGGCAGAACACACACCATACTGCACTGACTCTTGCAGGAAAAGCTGGATGGCAAAGCGAGCATAATCAGTCTCCACTCCAATGACTCCCACCCAGGTCCAGCCAAAATAGCTCACCAGCTGGGCCAGGGCTTTAATCTGAAAGGCATCACTGGGCATGGTGCGCATGAATGTGGGGAACTCCCTTTGGTTACTCAGACAGCTGCAAGATGCAAAATAGCTCACCTGGTATTATAGAAAACAATGATTAACCTTCTGCACACTTAGGCTCACTGGAAAGGGTGTTGGACGAGCATCAAAATTCACATAGAAAATTAATACATAAATAAACATACAACTGTCTTTAGAAGTACTCAGTGGTGCAGTTTTCCCTGTACTTCAAATGAAAAGCCCAACTGTAAAAATGAGTTAACACTGATTTAAAAGGGGTCATGTTTTATACATTACTGAAAATGCAAATTTCTCATTTTTTACACTCACATGATGATACTGGTGAATTTACAGATTAAGCACTGTATACTTGAATTTCTGATCAATNATACGAAGTTATTACGTATATATATATATATATATATATATATATATGTATATGTATGACTATACATTTACAGATTAAGAACTGGTGGGGTTTTTTTAATTGAAGGATTACTTGTTTCTCTACGTGTGGAGAATACCTCTTCTTTTTTAAGCTAAATAAATCATTAAAAAAGAGGAGTATTTAAAGAAAGTGCATTATCAGAAAGATGGAATTGGGCTGCTGAAAAGCTGTCCAGAGGCGTGGTTTTAACAGTACAGATATTATCAGCAACTGTGTGGCACGTAATTAATATAAGAAAAAAAACAAAACTGTAAAAGACCAATTTAACATGGCAAAAAACTATATTAACATTATCACAACAAAAGAGCACAGACTGTCAGGCAGTCTCACCAGGGGGATATGGAAAGAACCCAGGCTTCTTAGCAGGGCCATCGACACCCCAGAAGCAGCATCTCCTATGATTACTGGGGACACAGTACTTTGTACAGCAGCACAGCCTAAATTAGAAGTACTATTTCTTTTGAGACCTTTGTCTCTGTTCACACTCTCAACTCTAGTGCCTGTCTCTGGCTGTCCGTTCACCAACAGCAAAGATGCTCTCAGAGACACAGGTATGTCATCACAGCTGTCATGGATGTGGAAACCAAGCTTGAGCTGTGGCAGGAGGTCCCTGCGCTGGTTGATCTCTTTGATTGCAAAAGTCATGGTCTGCATCCAGCGTAAAGCACGAGAACTGAAACTGTACAGTGAAAAGCACTCCATTACACAGCATCAATGTAATTATATTAAAATACACACAGGTATACATCCATAGCAAACATAACATGAATGAAAAAAAATACAATCTACTATTTATTGCACACATCAGTTACTATTAAACACATTCAAATATTCACTCACTATTTATACATATTAGGTGCTGGTTTTGTTTTGTATGTGTGAAGAGAAGACACAGGGCTGTAATGCAGAGGGAATAAGCCTCCTATAACTACATCTCCATCTTCATACAGACTGTTTTTCTCCTCTTCCCCCAAGAAAACACAGTTATCCAGAGCAGCAAATGAGCCAAGATTGCTGCAGAAGAGACTGAGGAATATAAAAAGTTCTGCAGCTGGCACCACCATGGCTGGTCCAGGTTTGAAGGAACACTCCAGCTCAGAAAGCTTAAATATTTCAATGCCAGATTACTTGAGAGCAGCTGCTCTTTGTGGTCATATACAAAGAATTATGATATTTCAGGATGCAAGTTATGTATACACCGTAGTTAGCACACATAAATCGAGGGGACTGCCCACATACGGTAGTTGTGACATCATTGAAAGTAACATCTTATGTTCCTGGGGTGGGGTTAATACAGTAGTCTGAATTAAAAAAGCAAATAATAAAAAAACTTTTAACAAAACAGATTTGCCTTAATAAGCCACTGAGGGGTGAATGGGGTGAATTTGTTTTGAACACATATATCGCATTAAAAATAAAACAGTGTCTAGTGTTATATTTTTAGATTCGGTGATCTATTTATTCACAATTTGACATACACATGCCTGCCTTGGCATGGGTAGAAAGCAGAATTGTCCATATGTAACCACAATGATTCGCGTGTGTGTGTGTGTGTGTGTGTGTGTGTGTGTGTACTTGTACATGCTACACAGTGAGCAGCAAAAAACATATTTTAGCACACATGCATTTGTGAATGTGTGTGAGACAGAGGTTCCTTGAATATGTATTTGAGGGTCTTTTTAAAATTGCAATTGTTGACTGTTTTTTACATCAATATTCTTCAATGTGTACATTTGTGTCATCAAAGTAAAATATGAGATTACAGATTTACCCTGTGTTTTAGATATTATTGTGTTGATAACTCACATTTCCATAAATAAACAACTACTTAAGGCTCTGAATCTTCATCTTCCTTTGTATAAAACATCCAGTTTTCTATCAGATATCATGGAGTTGTTTTATAGAATGAAACTGTTGATTTATTGGATTGTCCCACCATCATGGTTCTTATATTGCCAGATTCCAGAGACTCTCCCCTCTTCATATATGGCAGAATATGTCAACTTCCAACTTGCTATGTTGAGATACATGTAAAAATGTAAGAATTTAGTAACACGGATTGTTGTTTTTTTTTCAGTGATATAAAAATTAATATAAAATACAGGCACATAGAAGGACATGTAATGATGGCAAATCTGTGTAGCCTAGATTATCTGACTGAAAAAAATAAAATAAGATATAGCATGTGTTTGTAGCCTTTATAATGACTGTGATATAAGTTTAAAAGTAAAGGCAGGAAAAATACCCCAAAAAGGCCTAGGGCCCAAAGGGTTAACAGAAAAAATATCAGGCTATGAGGCTACAGGGGATTAAGCCATTAAAATACACTCATTATTATACATTCAGTTCCTTTTGCTAAAGTTAACTTGATTTGTGATGATTAATGGATTCAGTCTGAGCGTACACTGACAAACTACTGTGGTCGTCACATTTCTGTAACTACTTATCCAGCAGAACACATTTCAGAAACCACAGCAAAAAAGGAATTTAGGTAAAATTTACCGTGACATGTTTCCTCAGGTTAGACGTTCAGTTTTTGTATGCTGAAATGTCAGTTTGTTTTGGCAGACACAGGAGACACATTATATAGCTGCTCTTTTGCACTGTGTGTAAACAAAACATGCTTTGTATATGAGGCCAGCGGTGTTGATCCTCTTCAGTTTTAGCACTGGAGACAGTTGCTGTGCCATTTTTCATGTGTTTTTGCATTCCCTGTCTGCTACGTTGGAAGAGTTTGTGCCGCTATGCCGCCACAGTTTGTGTGTGTCATGTGACTGCATGGCTACGTATGATTGGTGAAACTGAGTCATGTGATTATTGTTGCTACGTCTGATTGGTGAAACACAGTCATGTGGTAGATCCACTGGCAGCATATCTCTAGCAAAAATAAAGCATATCTAATGTGTAGAATAAATGGAAAAAAAAGTTATGAGTTGAGTGTAGCTCAATGTAGCAGAGTAAGAGAAGCTTTTCTTTTTCACAAATCTACTCAAGTACAAATAAAAAGTATGGTACAGTAAAACTACTCTTAGAAGTACAGTTTTTTTTTTCAAGTAAAGGTAACAGAGTAAATATAACTCGTTACTACCCACCTCTGGTCCAGGTACATCACAAGTTGTATTCTGTGGGTTTATGTGTTAGCCTGCAACGGGGCAACAATATTTCAAAAAGGTTTGCTTTATTGCATTTCAAACATTAATCTTTAACAATTTTGATGACAACACAAGTATATTTCATTGAAATGGCTTTCTCATAAATGTCAATTACTTAGCCACACATGTAATCAACTGTTACATTCATCTTTGCATCATGTATTTTTTGCTGTTTTTTTTCGGTTTCATAATAATGATGTAGCACTTTGGAGCAAAAATGCAAAATAATAGACCAAATGCTGAGGCAAAAATAGCAAAAATATGAACAGCCACTGTGTATTTCCCAGCTGCGCTCACATAAACTGGAATAAAGGTAATCCACACTGCAAAGAATATCAGCATGCTGAAGGTAATGAACTTTGCCTCATTAAAATTGTCAGGCAGCTTCCTTGCCAAAAATGCCATTAGGAAGCACATGCAGGCCAAAATGCCAATGTATCCAAGAACACACCAGAAGCCAACCTCTGAACCAGTAACACACTCAATGATGATGGAAGCACTGTAATCAGTGTTGATGATGGCATGAGGTGGACTGGTGAGCATCCAGATCAGACAAATTATAACCTGAGTGGAGGGAAAAACAGGATATTCATATTTAATAAACACAGTTGAAAACATATTTATAGAGATAACTTAAGGAAAGTATTTCTACCTGAACAGCTGTTCCTAAAAGCACACTGGCTCTCTGCTGTTTGGGTCCAAACCACTTCATGACATTACTCCCTGGCAGTGTGGACCTAAAAGCCATTAGGACCACTGCTGTCTTGGCCAGCAGGCATGAAATGCAGAGGGCAAAACTGATCCCAAATGCAGGGTACCTGATACTGCAAAGCCAGTCTGAAGGCTCGCCAATGAACAGCAGGCCAACAAGGAAACAGACAGCAAGAAACACCAAGAGTAGGAAGCTCAATTCCATGTTGTTGGCCCGAACCAGTGGAGTGTCTTTGTATGTGAAGAATATGGCAAGGACGGAGAGAGAAATACATGCTCCAACAACAGATACAACACACAGCACAATACCCATCGACTCAAAGTAGGACAGGAACTCAATAGTCTTTGGGATGCAGTGATCTCTGACTTTATTGGGCCATGTGTCCTCTGAGCAGCGTGAGCACTCTAGAGAATCTGGAGATGGGGAGAGAGAAGAAAACTTTTCAGAGGAGTCATATTTTGATACAAACAGGTCAGTCTATATATGGATAACACAAAAGAAAGGTTGATAAAAGCCAGAACACAACAGACCAGTCTCATTACTAACTTCTCCCTCAGCACAGGGGACACAGTCAAAACAGCAGATGGGCTCTCCCTTTCTCCTGGCGATGCGGTAACCTGGAGAACAACTGTCACTGCATACAGACCGGGAAGCCTGAGAGGCAAAGTTCAGCTGCTCAGAAAGACACTGATTTAAATCAATATTCACCTCTGTATCTGCTTTGTTATGCAATACTGGTCTCTGTGGACTCTGTTTTAGATACAGAGTGAAAGTCTAAACTATAAAAGCTATGTTAAAGGGTCAGTGTGTAATATTTGGCATGGTTTATTGTCAATCTGAATTGTCAAAATTCGTTTGGTTTTCGTAGCCTTATAATTATGCTTTTATATATATATAGCAAGGGCCTTGCTTTAGAGAGGTCGCCATCTTGCGCCGCCATGTATGTAAGGCAGCCCGAGCGGACAATCCAGCCAGCCAGAGAACGCGTTTCACTTGTATAAATGAACCAGCAAAGACAGCGGAAGGAAGGAAGAAGGAGGAGGAAACAGCAGAGAGTGTTAGTAGTTCGTTGATAGAGAGTAGTGAAAAGTTTTTTTAGTTATAAAGTTTGTGAATGGACCACACTTACCACGCAACAGGAGAGAATGAACCCGAACATCTGCGAGGAAAAGAAGACGCAACTTCACTTCTTGTGATGCACTCTCTGCGGGGCTTTTCCTCCTGATGATATATCTCCCCAACGATGGTAGCAGTAGCACCGAATCCCATTCTGTGCATTCAGCCTCTCTTCTCGCCCGCTCAGCATCAAACACATGGAGTTCCTCATCTGTATGCTCCGGTTCAAACAGATATGGCTCTGGGTCTGTGTCCGCTACAAGAATCGCGTTCAAAGTCGTCCATTGCAGCTACTATAGTCCGGAGATATCGCTAGGCTAAATAAATAGCTGAGCTCTATTTACCGGCTACACTGTCAGTCAGTGTGCGGGCTGGAGATTGAGCAGAGAGGGGAGGGGGTCCCCACTCTATTGTAAACGAGAATGTGTGTATGGAGTGTGTGTGTGTTACGCTAGAAGAGTCAGAGTTTGGGACGGAGTCTTTTACCCCCTGGAGTGTTACCGGAGTATCTGGAGTGCTCAAATAAACTGGCCTTTTTCCCGAATGCTCCTCTGGTCTCCTGCTCGTGAGGGATTCATTACAATATAGTAACATGGCGTAGATTTCTAAATAAACATTCACCTCGTCGCTAGATAGACCTACTCCTGAAAAACTCGTGCGCAAGGCTTTTTGTCCCTACGAGGCAACCGTCATTTACCCAAAGGGAGGGGTGAGAGAGTGAGCCCTGCAATCTAGAATTTGACCACTGATGTCACTGTTTTCAACCCATTTTACACACTGGCCCTTTAAGTATACACTGGATACGATTTTGTGAACTATCTATTATTGTAATAAATCATTAACATGAACGTTTTTTTAATGTACATTCCCCAATAACATATTATTTAAAAAGTCTTTCTTTTCTTATGGACTTTTTTTTTTTTTTTTTTGAAGCAGCAATCTAACATATTTTCACACAGTCATCACCTCAACTATTACCTATTAAGAAATGTGGCTCTTAATACAGTAATGATACTTAACTATGGTGGCCATATGAGCTCAATGCACTACAAATTAAGAAAACACGTTAAAAAAAAAAACAAAA